ATTATATATATATATATATATATATATATAATTTTATTTTAAGATCCTCGAGTTGGATCACCCAACTCGGGATACTCAGAGTTGCCAGGGTGGCAAGTCTAAGTTACTCAGGCAAGTCTGAGCTGGGTCGCCGGAGTTTCTCCACAGATGCAAATGTAAATCAGTAAAATCACCTAAACAAGCGTTATGCAACACTCTGGCCCAGATCTCCTTCTGTCAATCATTTCCTGGCCAATTCATAGGACCTTTCTCTTGGCTGTGAAGCTGGGGATACTTGACCACAAAATCCTCACCCCATGCCCCTTCACCAGTAATCTCCACAAGAACAATCTCCACCTCTAAAGTGGTGAAACCTGTTTCTATCTCTAACTGTTATATCTCTCCTATAAACCTTTGAAACAAGCTTAAAATAAGTGTGACAATCCTTGCACACTCTCAAATTCTTCACAATCCTTATGACTTCCCCTTCTTGAATCTTTAGAAGCCCAAAAGCCAGAGCAAGCTTCTCACTGTGATACATTAGAGAAGTTTCTTTCTCTTCTTCCTCCACATCATAAGAAACCATCTCTGTGTCTACTACATAACCAGCAAGCCTCAACTCTCTCTCTACATCACTCAACATCCTACAAATCTCTTTCGAAACTGCCTTCCCAACTATGAATTCATAGACCACATTCTGTATTTCTATTGAGCTACACCCGGGTTCCTTTCGAATCCCTCTAAGTTTCATAGTTTCTCGCACTAGAGCGACATCATTCCACCTATGAGCACGGGCGTAGAGGTTAGAGAGAAGGACATAATTCCCACCATTTCCAGGCTCTAATCGGAGGAGGTTCTGGACTGCAAGCTCTGAGAGATCGGTTCTTCCATGAATCCTACATGCTCCAAGCAGTGATCTCCAAACTATGGCATCTGGTTCAATGGGCATGGACTCAATCAAAGACATAGTCTCTTCTAATAAACCAGCTCGGCCTAGAAGATCAACCATGCATCCATAGTGTTGAATACATGGCGTCACGCTGAATTCATCTCTCATCATGGCCAAGTACTGGTAACCTTGATAAACCAGCCCCTCATGGCTGCAAGCACATAACACACCAAGAAATGTCACCCCATCAGGCCTGACATGGCCATCACCCACCATCTCTCTAAAGAGTTTCAGAGCTTTTTCACCATAGCCATTCATGGCCATGCCTGATATGATGGCATTCCATGTGTACACATTCCTATGTCTCGTGCCATCAAACATCACCATGGCCTCATCTATGCTCCCGCATTTTGCATACATGTCAATTAGTGAAGTACCCACAAAGACATTTACAGTTAAATTCCTGGTTTTTATGTATTCATGGACCCATTTCCCCTGGTTCAAAGCACCCAAGTGAGCACAAGCAGAGAGAACGCTAGTCACCGTGGTCTCAGTCGGCTTGAACCCAGAAATTTGCATCTCCGAAAACAATTTCAGAGCATTCGAGAACTCGCGATTATGGGTATAACCAGTGATCATGGCGTTATAAGAAACGGAGTTCTTTTGGGTCATTTCATCAAATATTTTGCAGGCTGAGGCCATGGATTTACAGGAAGAATACATGTGGAGGAGGGCAGTGTCTGTGTACACATTGGAATTGAAACCCAGGTGTATGATATGGGTATGGATGGATTGGCCAATGTAGAGAGAGAAGGTTTGGGCACATGAGGAGAGGAGAGAGGGGAAGGTGAAATGGTTTGGTGGGGTGTTGGTTTTAAGCATTTGAGTGTAGGTTAAGATGGCCTTATGGGGTTGGTGGTTGTGTGTGTGGGTTCTGATGAGGGAGTTGAAGGCAGGTGTGATATGGTGAAGAGAGAGAGGAGGGAAGAATTTGGGCATGAGAGGGAGTGGGAGAGGTCTGGAGATTCCCTGTGGTAGTAACATGAAGAGAAGGTTCGAGGGAGAGAGAGAGTGGACGTTTATTGAGTTTGGTTGTGGTTGGTAGTTTTTTGTGACATTTTAAGATGGGAGAGACAAGGTT